CCGTTGCGCTTATTTGTGGTGCCCAAATAGTGTCCATTTTTTGCATCCCCATAAAAAATTGATCGTGTACTCAACCTTGCTCCGCCGATTTACTGCCTTTCTCCCTTCATCTATGGTGATTTGGAACCTTTTTTTTTCCTTTATTTCATTGTGTTTCAATTATTTTTGTTTAATTCTTCCATCTGGTTTGTCATCTCGCAGCATGTTCGGGTGCTTCTCGGCATTCTTCTCTGTGATTTGATTTTAATCAAATAAGTTTTTAATTAAATTATTTAATTATTTTTATTCTGCATCTCATAATATGTTTATTTGTGTGATTGCATATTATAAAAAGTAAAAAAGATCTTCCAATTGTGTTGTTTTCTTTTGACTGAACTGATTGATAGCTTTCTGTTTTGTAATTATAGTTTTTTGGCTTGCATCTGCAGTCATTTTGGTTTTTCTATTATACACGTGTCCATTGTGTTGGGAAATTATGGATTTTTTTAATCATCTTTCATTGGTTCGTATATGGCTAGAAGGTCAATACCTATATTTTTGCTTTTCATTAGCTGAATAGGTTTAATCATTTTTTCCTGCTTATTTTATTTGCAGTTACGTTTTCCTGCTTTGTTTGTGAATATCTGAATATTAAATTTGTAAAATTAATTACGAATATGTTATTTGCATTGTATATAAGTGGTGACCACAGTTTTTGCTCTTAATTGTCTTTATCCACAACAGTATGTATCTTCTTCTCTTTGTCTTTGCTTTGCTTACCTTTCTCTTCTTTTATTTGTTGCATTTGGAACATTTGTACTCTTTTAACGGGCATGTTCTCATTTTGTGTTTTATTTATTTATTACCTTCATTGACCTATTCACCTATTTATTCCAGATTTATTTTTCATTATGTTTTATCTTGTTTTTGTTCTGTTTGATTTTTTGGGGTTTTCATTTTTATTTTAGATATGATGAACAGGGATTTTCAGAGTGACCATAACCTGACAATCACCACCGTATATCCAACTGGTGTTGTAAGTAGATTTAGTGGTGCTTTTTACGAATGAGGCTTTCTGTTTAATTTTATTTTTTGGTAAATAGTTTGTGATTTGAAATTTTGTCAGCGTCGATGAGCGGCGGGGAGTCACTGCAGGTGCGCCTCCACAGGGAGGTAGTTGGGTCATTATCATCCGCGTCAATTTTCGAGTCTGGATCCAGATCGTGCCTCAAACCCAAAATCGGCAGATCCACAATATCTCAAGCGAAATCACCCACCTCCGACGACCCAATAGCTCGGCAACTCCTTAGCGAAACCAGGCCATGGTCGTCTTTGCCCCAGCGGACGTCGCGTTTTCGGGTCTCTTATAAATGCTGTGGAACGTCTAATGAGGTAAGAAAAATGGGAGGAAAAAGGTACAGAATTCAGAAATTATTAATAAGGTATTTTTGTTAGTGGGATGATGATCAGATGGATT